GAAGAGTTTTCACGACATATCCACATTACTGACGGAGGTGGAAAACACACGAGGCCTTGGAGCGGAGGTGCGCGTCGAGGCTACGGGGCTGCTTCGTGCCATTACGCAGCGCAGTTTTCTTTTCATTGCGCACCTTGTTATGAAACTGTTGTCACTTTTCGAGCCGCCTAACAGACTACTACAGGCCGAAGATATGGACTTGTTCACTGCGGTGACACTTGTGAACAGCGCTTCTGACTGCGTGAAGACACTGCGCAAAGAAAACGAGTTTTCTGCACTGTGGGATCTCTGTGCTCCTCCAGCATCGGCCACCAGCACCGACCCTGGTCCAAGCAAGAGAAGACGCACAATTAATAAGAACCTCCGCGGATTTGCAGTTGAAGAAACAGTTTGTCAGCCACAAAGTGACATAGATGAAAAGACTGAGTTCATGAGATTGTTTTACAGTGTTATCGATGCTGTGCAAGGAGAGATGAAATGCGCGTTTTGGAGAGCGCTGTAGCGAGCTCATTGGCGCACTGGCTGCTTTGAACCCAGAGGCCGAGGATAATTTCCTGGACCCATCAAAGGTAACCCCTCTCCTGGTATTAGCTGGAACTGATGTGGTTGAATCTGAATATACTGTGGCTAGTGAGTTCCTGGTGAAGAAAATGACTGACGCAATGCTGCACAGACGCAAGGCCCAGCTGATTCAGCTTGCTTTTGAAAAGGACCTCACTCACAAGTTTAAGGCCGAGTGGAAGGATACTTTGATGAGGAGGTTCTGCTCGGAGAAACGCCGCCTCCCGCTGTACTGACAGGAGGGACTGGAGAGAGGACAGCGCTGCCTCCACTCAAAGTACCGGTAGGTTCAAAGTCTCTGTGTGTGTGTGTATGTGTGTGTGTGTGTGTCTCATGGCAATGCATATCCCTCTGTTGACTGCTTTAAAATGCAATGTTTGAGAGCTGCTTCTGGTGTTACATCTAATATGTTGTATAGTCAAGTGTTTTATGGATATTCATAACATTGCTTCTATGTAATGTGGTGTAGGCTATAGGCTACCTGGTCATATTGCTGTTGGTTATGTTTAATGTGATGATTACGTGCTGCGCAAATAGAGTATACGATTATTATAAATATACGTACTGTAGGCTAATAATAATTGTGCCCTGCCCTCCCATGCATTTCATATGCCCCCCTTAAGACTGAGGTCTGGCGACGGGTCTGCCTACATTGAACACCACACATTGGCTGCTACTGTAGACTGAACGATAGAACCGCTATTTCCATGTTAAAATGTTATGTGATGCATTGTCGCCATTGTTTTTTTTATGGTAGGCCACTTTGGTAGGCCTACATTATGATCAAATAGCCACACTAGCCACTGTTAAAACAGTACATTAAAGCGGGTACAGCCTCAGTGTTCACAGTAAACGCGCGCCGGACCTGACATTTGCTCAGTGCCGAAAAATATTAGATGGAACATTGCTCACAACTCTGGTAAGGCTGCCCTATCACTTCCTGCAGCATGGCCCCCCAGACACAGGTCTAGGATCAGGTTACACCACTCACAACTCTGTGGTTAAGGCTGCTCTATCACTTCCTGCTGCATGGCCCTCCCTCAGACACAGGTCTAGGATCAGGTTACACCACTCACAACTTAATCATTAACCATTAGGAGAGTCTAATACACAGCTGGCCTTACATCAGTGTCTATGGGAAACTTTATCCTACTTCTGGGGTGTACAGGCAATCATTTCTGTTCTACATTATACATTTCTATCTGAATGTTCTGTAGGTTACATCCTCTTGAGAAGACCCCTGTTTAGCATGTCTCTGTTTAATCAATGAATCAAACTTTATTCATACGGCACATTACATACAAGACGTGCAGTTCAACGTGCGTAACATAAAAAAGAAGACTGGTCCTGTAATTCATTCGCTGGGGAGTTGTCTCCATCTGATGGCCACAGCGTGTAACTACACACCCCTGAGAAAGTGAGACCATACACTTGTTCCTTTTTTCGTTTCATATTTACATGCTTGGCGTCACTGCCTGTGACAAGTGTGATCTATCTACCATATATCACTATACAATATGTGAGAAATGTCCCCTCAAAACACATTTAAGAATTATTCTTGATCATATTGATTGTGACGAGATGATGCAACAAAAAGAGAAACCATACCATTGCTCATGTACAACAATACATTAAAACAAAACATAACGACAGTGTTAAACGTTTATTTTGTCATTTTATTTCACATTAATGTCCAGTCCACTTTGTGTTCATGTTAGTTACAGTAGATACAAATCTACAACTGGAGAGATGATTAAATTAAAACTAAGGCCAGGATTCAATCTGATCCCTCTTTGTCAGCTAGGCACCTTTTAAAGGCAATGTTCCCGCGATCGCGGAAGACCGCATTCACGGCAAATTCTGCATATTTCGGCTCAATTGTAAATTACCTTTAAATGTCAAGCGTGCTACAATGCAGATCTACCACTGATCAGATTGAATCCCAGCACTGGGACATCGGTCTGCACTGAATCTAGCTTAGCCTCTTATCCAACTTATCCAAACGAACTAAAATGTATCCGTTTATGAATGACTCTAAAGAGAGATTAACTTTGAGGACAATGAAAGTGTGATATGACCACAAACAATAATATGATTAAACAAATACAAACAAATATAGAGCTTAACCTGGCTTCTCACATTTCATCCTTCATCTCAGAGTTCTGTTATGTACAGCAGACAGACATAGCTAACTGTATATGTGTGTGTGTGTGTTTGGGCGTGTGTGTGTGGGCATGTGTGTGTGTGTGTGTGTGTGTATGGGCGTGTGTGTGTGTGGGTGTGTGTGTGTGCGTGTGTGTGGGCGTGTGTGTGTGTGTGCGTGTGTGTATGGGCGTGTGTGTGTGGGCGTGTGCATGCGTCAGGTGCATGTGTGTGTGTGTGTGTGCATATGTCTTACCTTCTAACCGGAAATTGTAACAGACTAACGGAATAAAAACGAAATATTTAAATACTAGAAGAACACAGTTTGTAAACAAATTGCTAATAATATCATAGAATAATATAACTCAGTCATAATGGCATAAATAGTGTTTTTATCATAATGGCCAACATACAGGCATGTGTTGGCCTACCTATTGACACAAGTCTCTCTCTACAGTTTAGGCAACATTTATGCAGTAGAATTCAATCAACCCAATTCCCTATGGTCCTCCTCCTGTTTCTCTTGACTCATTTACACATTCCTTCAGTAACTCGTATCTCTTCATCTGAAAATCCATTGAGATTCTGGACTCTTGCTTTCTCTTTCTCTCTTTATGTGCTTTATGGAACAGAGTTTGATTCGTAACCTCCCTGCCAGCCTGAAATGTCTCTCCTCGCGTGACGCCCATCACACTCATTCAAGCCTTTGTCTCTGTTTCTCAGTGTCAGGATCTCTTCATCTCATGGTCCAATGACTTTGATTCATCCCCTCTGTCTGTCCATCATTCAGATGTCTGTGTATATGATGTGATGTGGTTCCTATGTACCTATCTATACATCTGAGAAGCTCTCTTCTACACTCTCAGAAGTGCTACGTAGAACCATTTGTCTCTGTAGGAGAACCCTCTGAAAAAAAAGTTCCAGATAGAACCCTTTCAGGTCAGACGAAAAACCCCTTTTTGGTTACAAATAGCAGCCTTTCAAGGGTTCTATTTGGAACAAGAGGTTCTATGTGGAACCAAACATTTTTCAATATGATCTGTAAAGAGTTCCATCTGGAACTCTGGACAATAGTCATCGGCATCGCAGTCTCGTGAGACCATCGATTTATTGTGCCTTGGAGTTAGGTCTTAGCGCAGCATCTGCTGTGACTGTGAAGTCCAATCTGTCAGAGGCAGACTCGGCCACAGTTGTCACATTTGTAGGCCGGCCCGGATGTTGTGGCGTCCTGACGTTCGTACCTCAGTCGGTAAGTTAGAATAAAAGTTGAAACTTGAAAGAGGGTTGGACATCAGGGCCCGTATCCACATACCGTCTAAGAGTAGGAGCGCTGATCTAGGATCAGATCGTTCCCTATAAATGTAATTGTGTTCATTATGACATAAAAGGCAAACCCCATCCTAGATCAGCACTCCTACTTTGAGACGCTTTGTGGATACGGGCCCTGATGTCCAACCCTCTTTCAAGTTTCAAGTTTTAATAGAACTTACTGACTGAGGGAAGAACATCAGGACACCACAACATCTTTTGGGAAACATTCAACCCTGTTTTTCTGTGGAGGGTAAAGAGGTGGGGTGGGGTTCGGTGTGTGGGTCAGGGAGAACATGGCGGTTGGGCCAGTGACTGTTTCTTACCAGTTGCTGTAGGAGAAAAAAAAACTTTCAGTAAAGTCACAGCTCAGAGAAATGTTTAGGAGCCACTGTAGTCTCCCTGGAAACAAGTGGCAATTGTTACTGAGTCAATTATCCTGGCTAAATAAATACAAATGAAAGGTGTCTCTCATCCTAAGGTACTGTAATAATCCATCGTAGTGGCATATGGAGGTGTAGCAGACATGGTCATTGGTTGCTCATGGTCACGTGATGAGGTAGCCCCGCTTGTGACTTCAAAATAAGTGTTGGCCCTCAGCCCATAGGGAATTTCCTCTTCGTCTAATGGTTAAGATGTTGATTTCTTCCGTGGGACACCAGGCTTCAAATCCTGCCCGTTACTGAGGCTTCTGTTTAGGAGCCACTGCAACCTTTTATCTTGGTTGGCTGGTGAAGGTCTGTCACATGACACACCATAACGAACGTCAGCCGTGAGCAGCGGGTGGTAGTCCTATCGCCTCTCACCACAGAACATTTCTATTAATTTCCCACGATTGAATTGTCCCCGGGCAGATGATCTACCGCGCACGGCCAACATTTGTTATTGTGCGTCCTGTGACAGACCTTTACCAACCGTTAAGGGCTTAAGATCATTGTTGTGAAGGTTCTGTGTGTTTCTGTGTGGTTCTGTGTGGTTCTGTGTGGTTCTCAGAAGTTGCTGAAGATCTCCTGTTTCTTGCTCCAGTTCATAGGGGGCGCTCTCTTCTTGGAGTGTTGGGCCCTCTCTTTGGCCTCGGCTGCCGTGGGGCTCAGATGCAGTCCGCTGTCCAGGAACGGGTCCGAAACACGCCGCTCATAATCCTCAGGGACCTAGAGAGATACACGTACGCAGGCATGCATACACACACGTATTCAGACCTGGGTTCAAATACATGTGTATTTGAGTATCTGGTATTTAAAAAACTTTTTTCTGTGAATTTGAGTGTTTTAAAATACACAGCCCAAAACAAGTATTTTATTTGAGTATTTTAATGGTTATTTATAAAAACCAAATAGTCTACCAAATTGTATTTGAGAGTATTTTCAAATACCTGAGTTAAATGCATGGGAGTGTATTTGAGACAGTGTATTTGAGTATTTTCAAATACTTTCCAAGTGTATTTCCAAAATACATACAAAATATTAAACTACTTGTCTTTTCAAATAAAATATATCTGAATACTTAGTTTGAATGTATGTGAAAGTAACTGCGATATTTGAAATAGTATTTGAACGCAGGCCTGCACATATTACATACATGTTACATATTACGTACAACAAACCATAAACTAGCTACAGTATTTATCTACACACACACCTGAATGCTCATATCTGAGCTGCTGAATTCTGTTTGGGTAGTCGAGCCACGTGAGGACTGGGATGCTGAGCTCCCATTGGTCTGTGAATTGGGCGAGCTGTTTGTGATTGGTGAGCCCATCAGGGTGACGTTGATGATTGGTGGATCCATTGGAGGGAGGTCAGTGGTTGAAGAGGGGGTGGGCGGGGCACTGTCTGTCATTGGCTCGTCCACATAGACCTCTGGAACACAGAAACAAACCACATGAGCAACTTGACTAAATCCTTCCAGATGAATCCTTCAAATGTAAATATGTTTGTGGCCATTAATGGTTTAGATGCAAATATGAGTCGTGTGTGGATTTCTGCCCTTAAAAAGATACAGAGATATACAGAGAGAGAGAGAGAGAGAGAGATACAGAGAGAGAGAGATACAGAGAGAGATATACAGAGAGAGAGAGAGAGACACAGAGAGAGAGATACAGAGAGAGAGATATATATATATAGAGAGAGATATACAGAGAAAGAGAGAGAGAGAGATACAGAGATACAGAGAGAGAGAGAGAGATACAGAGAGAGAGATATACAGAGAGAGAGAGATACAGAGAGAGAGATACAGAGAGAGAGAGATACAGAGAGAGAGAGATACAGAGAGAGAGAGATAGATACAGAGAGAGAGAGAGAGATACACACAGAGAGAGAGATACAGAGAGAGATATATATAGAGAGAGAGATAGAGAGATATACAGAGAGAGAGAGAGCGAGAGAGAGATATACAGAGAGAGAGAGAGAGTGAGAGATAGAGAGAGAGAGATACAGAGATATACAGAGAGAGAGAGAGAGAGAGAGAGAGAGAGATACAGAGAGAGAGAGAGAGAGAGAGACAGTCATCCTTTGACCTTTGACATGTGTGCTGGTGAGCGTGACCCCAAGCCTCTTGAACAGCTCGTCTGTTTCCGCGTCGACCACCAGGAGGCGTGTCTCGTCTCCCCCGCCACGTATAAACGACACCACCTCAGAGTGTCTCAACGCCTCGATGTTCACTCCATTCACCTGGGGGAGAGCAGACGAGGATAAATGAATTAATGAGTGGATGAATAAACAAATGAATGAAATGGATGGATGAATGTTATTAGCTACATTTAAAATGCGGATAGAGTTTATATAGTTGCATCAACCATTTGCCTCCATTTACCTGGGGAGGAGAGGAGTAGTTTTACAGGTAGTCATTGGAAATAACAATTTGTTCTTAACTTGTTCTTACCTGAACTGCATGAATCTCTGTCAGGTATCCCTAATCTCAGATTTATAAAGCTACGACTGATTTTAAACTGGATTTGAAAATACTTGCTGTATTGCAATATATGTACACTACCGGTCAAAAGTTTTAGAACACCTACTCATTCAAGGGTTTTTCTTTATTTTTTACTATTTTCTACATTGTAGAATAATAGTGAAGACATCAAAACTATGAAATAACACATATGGAATCATGTAGTAACCACAAAAGTGTTAAAACAAATCAAAATATATTTTATAATAGCCACCCTTTGCCTTGATGACAGCTTTGCACACTCTTGGCATTCTCTCAACCAGCTTCATGAGGTACTCACCTGGAATGCATTTCAATTAACAGGTGTGCCTTCTTAAAAGTTAATTTGTCGAATTTCTTTCCTTCTTAATGCGTTTGAGCCAATCAGTTGTGTTGTGACAAGCTTGGGGGGTTATACAGAAGATAGCCCTATTTGGTAAAAGACCAAGTCCATATTATGGCAAGAACAGCTCAAATAAGCAAAGAGAGACGACAGTCCATCATTACTTTAAGACATGAATACGGAAATGTGAATAACTTTGAAGGTTTCGTCAAGTGCAGTCGCAAAAACCATCAATCGCTATGATGAAACTGGCTCTCATGAGGACCGCCACAGGAATGGAAGAACCAGAGTTACCTCTGCTGCAGAGGATATGTTCATTTAGAGTTACCAGTCTCAGAAATTGCAGCCCAAATAAATGCTTCACAGAGTTCAAGTAACAGAAACATCTCAACATCAACTGTTCAGAGGAGACTGTGTGAATCAGGCCTTCATGGTCGAATTGCTGAGAAGATACCACTACTAAAGGACACCAATACGAATAAGATTCTTGCTTGGGCCAAGAAACACGAGCAATGGACATTAGACAGGTGGAAATCTGTCCTTTGGTTTGGAGTCCAAATTGGACTTTGTGAGACGCGGTGGGTGAACGGATGATCTCCGCGTGTGTATTTCCCACCGTAAAGCATGGAGGAGGAGGTGTATGGTGTGGGGGTGCTTTGCTGGTGACACTGTCTGTGATTTATTTAGAATTCAAGGCACACTTAACCAGCATGGCTACCACAGCATTCTGCAACGATATGCCATCCCATCTGGTTTGGGCTTAGTGGGACTATCATTTGTTTTGTTTTTCAACAGGACAATGACCCAACACACCTCCAGGCTGTGTAAGGGCTATTTTACGCCTTCAAGACTGTTGGAAAAGCATTCCAGGTGAAGTTGGTTGAGAGAATGCCAAGAGTGTGCAAAGCTGTCATCAAGGCAAAGGGTGGCTATTTGAAGAATCTCAAATATAAAATATATAACACTTTTTTGGTTACTACATGATTCCATATGTGTTATTTCATAGTTTTGATGTAGAAAATAGTAAAAATAAAGAAAACCCTTGAATGAGTAGGTGTTCTAAAACTTTTGACCGGTAGTGTATATGATTAGCGACAGCTCCTCTTTAATAACAAAGCTGCAGTTACACAATCTGTCCAGCAGGTGGCTCATGACTCCAGCCCCTGTGACTGGGATGTAAGAGAGAGAGAGAAGTCAGTGATCTGTGATCTGATTTGTTAAGCTCCGTGGCAACTTTTATTTTGCATATCTCTCTCTCTCATCCTACACACTCCTACTGTGTCCTGAATCTCACACACACACGCAAATGCACCCCCACTCTTCTTCCATTCTTCCTCCTACCTCCATCCCTCCCTCCATCTCTCCCTCCCACACTAACCCTACAGGCTAACCTGCCAAGGTCCATGTAATCAGCTCTTATTTAAGCTAATCTCATCCGTGTGTGTGTATCTGAGGTAACACACACACACGAACACACAGACTGTCACGCTCACCAGCACACATGTCAAAGGTCAAAGGATGACTGACTGTCTCTCTCTCTCTCTCTCTTTCTCTCTCTCTCTCTCTCTCTCTCTCTCTCTCTCTCTCTCTCTCTCTCTCTCTCTCTCTCTCTCTCTCTCTCTCTCCTCTCTCTCCTCTCTCTCTCCTCTCTCTCTCTCTCTCTCTCTCTCTCTCTCTCCTCGTCTCTCTCTCTCTCTCTCTCTCTCTCTCTCTCTTCCCTCTCTCTCTCTCTCTCTCTCTGACCCTACCTCCACCAGCCTGTCCCCAGGTCTGAGGTCTGCGTGTTGGGCGGGGGACCCGGGGTCCACGCTGCGTATGAACTGTCCTCGCCGCGTCTTGTCACTGTGCAGGTTGAACCCGTATCCCTGCTCCCCCTTCACCATGTGACACAGCCGGGGGAGGAGCTCCACTGTCGCCATGGGAAACTCTGTATCTAACGACGCTGTCTCCGACGGCAACTACAGAGAGAGAGAGAGAGAGAGAGAGAGAGAGAGTGAGAGTGAGAGAGAGAGAGAGAGAGAGTGAGAGTGAGAGAGAGAGTGACAGAGGAAACACAATGAAAGAAAAAGTTTCACATATTAAATAAATTAAGTGTTAATTTGGTCAGTAGTGGTAGAACGTAACTCAAGGAGTGCTTGCTTGGCCCAAGAGTATTCTGATGACAGCTTTGAGAGTGACGAACATAACATAAAGAGACAATGAGTGAAGTTGTAAAAAGTTAAATCAGTAGCTATATAGATGTATATCTAAGTTATTAAACTCTTCAGATCTATTTCACTGAGATGCTACCTACCAACCTCAGGCCTAGGGATGGATGGATCTGCCAGCGGTCTTACCATGTGTCCCAAATGGCACCCTATTCCCTATATAGCGCACTACTTTGGACCAGGGCCGATAGGGTGCCTTTTGGGACACGTCTTCAGAGTAAGATTATAGGCAGGCAAGTGGATATAGCTAAACCTCTCAGTCAGACCCAATGACTGGGCCATAGTAAACACACACTGTGTGACAGCTCTCGCCCTCACACGCTAAGAAAACCACACACCCCAAACCAACACCCACCACACAACCCCGGACGCACACCCCCAACACATCAAAAGTTTTGCGGCCCCCCCCCACAGAACACACTTACCCCATATCTTTCCCCCAGCACCCCATCGCTTTCTCCTTTCCGCATCCCCTCTCTCCTCTTCTGCTCAAAAAATTAAAGTGAACACAGTAAATAAATGTCTAGTATGTTTTGGGAATTCTTCATTACCCCCTTTGTTACCCATCTCTTTGGGGGTGATTTCTCCCCAATTCCTAAAAACCCACCCCCCACACCCCTCACACCACACCCCCTACCACTCACACCTCCACCCCCACCTCACAACACTCCACCCACCCACACCTCACTCACACCACCCACACCACACACACACACATACCTCACACCCATACACTCACACCACCATCCCTTCCCCCCACCCCCGGGTTTTCCCCCGGGTAAAAAAGCATAAATGAATTTTAAGTAACCTAACATATATAAGAAAAACGAAAGAAAAGAAACAAAAAAAGAAACAGAACAAAAATAGAAAAAAATAAAAAAAAAAAACTAAAAAGGATATAAATAGAGAGAATAATAGAAAAAAATATATAGTAGAGGCTTTATAAAATTTTTTTAAAAACCAAAACTTTTTTCTTTAAAAATTTTTTCTTTTTTTTTTTTTCTTTTTTTTCTTTTTTTCTTTTTTTTGGGGTTTTTTTTTTAATAAGATAATTATATATATCAATATCTTCTTTTTTCCCATTTCCCCCTTCCTTTTTTCTTCCTTTTCCATTTATTTTCCTTCTATTCTCTTCGCTTTACTAACTTTTCTTTTGGTTGTTTTTTGGGTATTAGTGGGGGCCTTACAAGAAAAACAACACCAGTTTAGGGTATTTTTGTTAATTTACCAAACTGAGCAAACCAACAAGGGACCCTCCCCTTAACTATACAAATGTGTGTGTGTGTGTTCCTTTCCTATCAAACAAATGCGCCTTTAAGAAAAAATTTTTAAAAACCCGAAAGGAGAAAAAACAAGAGACGAAAGACCGGGTAAAAGGGAAGAATGAATTTAGGGAAAAGGAGAGAGAATTAGAAAGAAAATATAAAAATTAATATAGTTATTTGGGAGAAAATGGGGTTAATGAGATTTTTCTTTATGTTAATCTTTTTTTTGAAATTCTTTTTCGTTTTTTATCTTCGTTTTTTTTAATCTATTTTTTTTTCCTTTTTCCTTCCCTTTTTCCCTCTATCTTCTTTTCTTCTTTCTTTCCCCTTCCTTTTTGTTCTTTCCTCTCTTCTTCTTTCTTTTTTCTCTCTTTTGTCCTCTTTCTCCTCTCACCTCTACCTCCCTTTCTCCCCCTCTCTTCTTTTCTTTTAAACTCCCTCCCCCCCCCCCCTTCCTCCTCTCTTCCTAAACTCCCCGCTCCTTCAATCTTTTATTTTTTTTCACTTTGAAATCTTCTATCTCATTTCCCTCCTTTTCGATTTTATTGATAAATTCTTCTGTTTTTCTTTTGTTGGCCTCTTTATTTTGTCCCTAAAACCATTTATATCCAGCCATCTATTTCCTCATTACCCCGGCTCTTTTCCCTAATCCAAAACCACCCATACACCCCCACCACCGCCCACCGAAACCCATCGTGTCCCCCTTTGCCCCTTTGCACCTCCCCCCTGTCTCCATCTCCCGGAGGTTTATTGATCACGGAAACCAAACCCCCCTTCCATTGTCCCAAAAGAAGGAGCTAAAAAAAGGGTGACCAAATTAGATTGTTGGGAATTTTTTTCCCTGAAGCAGACGAATTAAAAGCCGGTAATGGCTTTTTGATTTGGAGGTTAGAGATCAGCCCGGTAAATTAGTACGTAACCGAGTCAGATTGATCAGTCCGGTAATACCCCGGTAAACCCCCGTCAGTTAAATCAGCCCGGTTAAAAAGTCTAACAAACAGATTTTAATCCCCGTAACCTAACTAACCGACCTTCGTTTCCACCGTTAAACTCCGTAACCAGACAGTCAGATTGATCAGCCGGTAATAGCTACCGGAAACCCCAGAACAGTAAATTTGATCACCCGGGTAATAGCTAACTGAAACCGACGTCAATTGATCAGCCGGTAATAGCTAACCGGTCAGTCTGAGATCAAATTAGAATCCAAACTTTCCCACAGCAACGGTAAATCAGTTTTAACAGGTCAGAGAGTTTGAGTCCTAGAAAGAGAGATGGTTTAAAATTTTGATACGTTTTTTAAAAAAAAAGTTTTATTTTTAGAAAAGGTTTTATGGCGTTTGAAAATTTATGCAGTTAGATACAGTTATATGCAGTTAGATACAGTTTTGGGAACTCTTACAAGGATAACATCAATGGTGTGTGTATTCGGTGTGTGTTGTGTTGTTGTCCGTAAAGTTGATGGGAGTATCCTGGGGCCGAGTGTTCCATGAAGATACAGTCTTGGGTTAAAGATGTTGAGGGAGGTATTCCTTTAGCAAGTTGTTGCTTTTGAAGATAAAAGTCGTTTATGTAATGTTGATGAGTGTCTGGGCATATGTTCCATGAAATAACATCTGGTTATGTATGTTGATGGGAGTGCCTGGGGGAATGTTCCTATGAAGATAACAGTCTGGTTATGTTGTATGGGTAGTCCTGGATCAGATGTTCCTATGAAGATAACAGTCTGGTTATGTATGTTGATGGGGTTACCTGGGGCAAGGTTCCTATGAAATAACATCTGGTTTGTATGTTGATGGGAGTATCCTGGGCAATGTTCCTTTAGATAACCCGTCTGGTTATGTCATGTTGATGGGAATAGTACTGGGCAAGTGTTCCTTGAAGATAACGTCTGGTTATGGGCTGTTATGGTATATCTGGGCGATGTTTCCTATTAAGATAACATCTGGTTATGTATGTTGATGGGAGTATCCCGGACAAGTGTTTCTATGAAGATAAAATCTGGTTATTATGTATGGGATAGTCCCGGAGCAGAGTGTTCCCATGAAGATAAAAGTCTGGTTATTATGTTATGGAGTATACTGGGCAGAGTGTTCTATAGATAAAAGCTGGTTATGTAATGGTGATGGGATAGTACTGGTCAGTTTCCTATGAAGATAACAGTCTGGGTTATGCAGTTGATGGGATAGTCTGGCAGAGTTCCTATGAAATAACATCTGGTTATGTATTTGATGGGATATACTGGGGGAAAGGGTTCCCATAAGATAAAAGTCTGGTTTGTAAAGTTGATGGGATAGTCGGGCGAGTGTTCCCATGAAAAAAACATCTGGTTATGTATGTTGTGGGGTTGTCTGGGCAAGTGTTTCCCTTTAAGTAACAGTCTGGTTTTTAATGTTTGATGGAGTGTCTGGGGCAAGTGTTCCATGAAGATAACAGTCCCGGTATTAAGTTATGGAGTATACTGGAGAGTTTCCTAGAAGATAAAATCGGTTAGTAATTTGATGGGAGTAGTCTGGGCAGTGTTCCTATGAAAAACCAGTCTGGTTTATGTTGTTGATGGGGGGTCTGGGGGGGAGTGTTCCTTAAGTCACTGGTAGAAAAAGGGGGAACCCAGGAGTGTTCCATGGGAAAAAACATCAAAAAAATTTGAGCAGATGTTCCTTTGGGTAAATCTGGTAAATGAATTTATATTCTTTTTAAAGTTTTCCTATGAAGTAACGTCTGGGTTTTGTATGTTTATGGGTAGTCTGGGCAGAGTTTCCTAGGAAGATAAAAGTCTGGTATGTAAAGTTATGGGGGTATCCCGGAGCAATTTTTTCCTATGAAATAAAATCTGGTTTTAATTTTGTGGGGGAGTCTGAGCAGGTGTTCCTATGAAGAAACATCTGGTTATGTCTGTTGAGGATAGTCCTGGGGAGAGTTTCTATGAACAACAGTCTGTTAGTAAGTTATGGGAGTAGTCTGGCGAGGTTCTATGAAGATAAGTCCTGGTTATTCAATTTATGGAGAGTAGAGCAGAGTGTTCCTATGACCATAAAATCGGTATGTCAATGTTGATGGGATAGACTGGACAAGTGTCTATGAAGTACATTGTTAATGTTGATGAGTAGTACTGGCAGGTGTCCTGAAGATAACGTCTGTTATGTAAAGTGATGGGAGTAGTACTAGGGACAGAGGTTCCTATGAGATAACAGTCTGGTCTGTGTTGAGGGATAGGACTGTGGCGATTGCCTAATCTAATAACATTGGTATGTCTTTGATGATAGTACTGGGCAATGATTTCCAGAAATAACAGTCTGGTTTGTAATTTGATGGGAGTAGTCTGACAAGTGTCCTTGAAGAAACGTCTGTGTATGTAATTTAGGGTAGTACGGAAGCAGATCCTATAAGATAACAGTCTGGTTATGTAATGTTGATGGGAGTAGTACTGGGGCAGAGTGTTCCTATGAAGATAACAGTCTGGTTATGTCATGTTGATGGGAGTAGTACTGGGGCAGAGTGTAGTCCCTTATAGATCAGCTGGTAGAGCACGGGCGCTTGTAACGCCAAGGTAGGGGTTCGATCCGGGACCACCCATACACAAAAAAAATGTATGCACCATCGACGTAAGTCGCTGTGGATAAAAGGTCTGCTAAATGGCAGATGATTATTATTATATTAGTGTCCTATGAAGATAAACAGTTGGTTCTGTAAGTTGATGGGAGTCGTATGGGCAGAGGTCCTATAAGATAACAGTTGGTTATGGGAATGTGATGGAGTAGTCTGGAGCAGAGTGTTTCCTATGAAGATAACAGTCTGGTTATGTAATGTTGATGGGAGTAGTACTGGAGCAGAGTGTTCCTATGAAGATAACAGTCTGGTTATGTAATGTTGATGGGAGTAGTCCTGGGGCAGAGTGTTCCTATGAAGATAACAGTCTGGTAATGTAATGCAATAAGGGTGTCTGCCAGGATAGCACAATATGCTACGGAACAATGAACGCTGTGTGTGTGTCACAGAACAATGCACTTTGACTTGAGTATACCAGTGGTCTGTGATAGACGTAACACACACTGCCGTTCAAAAGTTTGGGGTCACTTAGAAATGTCCTTGTTTTCAAATGAAAAGCAATTTTATTGTCCATTAAAATAACATCAAATTAATCAGAAATACAGTGTAGACATTGTTAATGTTGTAAATGGCTATTGTAGCTGGAAACGGCTGATTTT